AATTTCGCGAGATGCCTCGAGGAGTTATCCCCCATCGGGATCGGGACGCTCCGATATTTCTCAAAGGGCTCCTCCAAAAAGAGAGCCGGCTTGTTTATGCGAGTCGTAAATAAAAAACCGACGGACTTTCACTACGATCCGGGATTTACTGCCCTCTTCGGCGAGACAATGCTTGACAAAGTTATCAAGAGACGCAAAGAGCGAGATGAGACTATACATTCGAGCGGTCCAGATTTCCTGGCAATTTTTGATAACATTAATTCGGCGTTGACGGTGAAATGGCGATCCGAGAAATTCTCATAAATTTTGGAAACGTTTTTTCGGCCCTCCAGGGGGATTTCGATGTTCGGTACGAGACGAGAAATTGCAGAGATCGGAATCGAAGTACCAGTGACATCCCCGACGCCGTTTTTCCGGAGAGCCCCCTTAGGCTCTCTTTTCACGGAAATATCTCATCTCGGCAAACGAGCGATGCGGCCTGTGCACACACAACTAATGGATCGAACAGCTGACGCGGAATGTTTTTTATTAATAAGAAAGTCACCTCCTCTCGAGCCCCGTGCATATTAAAAGTCCAAGGAGGATTTCTCCGAGGAAAATGTGCGAAATGGAACCCCCAACTCGAATCGACGACGAAACTTCCTTATTTCCACTTCATTATTCAATGTCGAAGATTCGGTGATTTCTAGCGAGGAAACCCTGGTTCCCTGAAAAATCAATATTTTCAATAAAAATATGTGTACATAAAATAAGTCGCGTCGTATCGAACCGAACCTAAGTACGGCGATACCGACTTTATCAATTTTTAACACTCCCACGACTCCGTAAATAATTGGATTACTCCCGTAATTACGGGATACTGCCTTTCTCTAGGAGGAATAAAATCCACTTCGCAGCGGGTGCGCATTGTTTGCCCAAAGACAATATAGGGTGGGACCATTGTTCCCTGAACTTCCGCGCCAGTAAAACGCGCTTAAATATTTTTATTCCCACGTTTAACCTCGGGTAACCGCCCAGGAGAGGTGTGAAGCGTAGTGTTAAAAAAAAAAACAAGGAAAAATAGTCGCCCGTGATTATCGAATTTTTAGGGGTATTCGAGGTGTCATTCATCTCTCTCTCTCTCTCTGTCTATTTCTGCGCGTCTTTTCACCCCCGGTCCCTTTAACGAATCCGCAGTCCTCGAGACGCCGCTCGAGTGGCGCACTCTCTTTAGAAACACTTCCTTCATTTTTTGGGAAAACGAGGGAGGGTCCTGGACCAGGTGAGAGGCGCAAAATGAGGGGTGGCTTGACGAGGGCGGCGCGATGAAAAAAATGATCTCGCTCGTAGGTGGATTCGCGTCTGGTGCGTCGTCCGTTTGCCCCATGGGGGGTTGCAACCCCTCTCCAGGTCGCCATGACGACCGCAGCCTGGAGGGCGCAAAAACTATGGTGCTACAATATTGTGCGTGCGCGCAGTCCCCTAATGAATACGAGCACTCAATTTCCCGGAGATGCTTCCCGGGGCACTTCCCGCGGGAGCGAAACTCGCCTCACGGCATTTCGAGGTATTTCGAGACACGTCGGGGTGCGAGCTCGATTCAAAGGGAACAGATTCGATTACCGGCCGTATCCGTCATTCCCTCGGAGGACGCGTCTCGATCGATCGGACCCAGAGATCGACCAATCGAAGGCGAGATGCTTCCTCTTTTCTCTGTCTCAAGTATTCCACCCAGAGGGAGTCGCCAGGAAACCTAGTTCCCTCGTTCTCTCTCTCTTTCCCTCCACCTTCACCTAACGCACCTCCGAGTCCACGAAGAAAGTCGAGGATTACGATCGATTATGAGAATTTCTCATGACGCTCGAGGGGGCTCGAAAATTTCCCTGGAAACAATTCATTTCATTAGAACGAATGTCCAATTTCACTATTAATATGTATACATATGTATTTATATGTTTTTTTTTTTAATGGAAATGTGCAAGTACGAGTTGTGACGGTGCTGCTTTTCCGCCCACTCGAGTTTCCTGGACAGGTCGTCGTGGACGGTAACACAGGTTTCTCCTTTTTTCTGCCATTACCTTCTCCGCAAATCTCACCACCTAGACTTAACTGCCGGGAGATTCATTTTGGTCGGTCATGTTAGACGAGGCGAGTCACTCGGACGAGTTCCGCGAGATTGATGGGCCTCGGAGAAGAGGCGCGTCCTCGCGTTCCGCGTGATTTCGGGTTGCACCGGGCGTAAACGCAGGTGCAGCCAGAATGCACCGAGGCGACCCGCCTCGGGAGGTTTTCCCTCTCGCCGCGGAACCTCCGCACAAAGGACAAGCGGAGAGAGGGAGAGAGGGAGAGGGAAAGACGCTGCCGCCAGATTTTACTTAAGGCGGGTCTACAGTTTCAAGTGCATCCGTGTCGGGAGTATTTTTAGCCCCCTCGAGCGTCGACGGACGTCACAGCTGCGATGCACATGCGCCCTGCAGGACGCCATTCAGACGGGGCATCGCGACGCCTCCTTCGCAGAGTTTTACACTTTGCCCTTGTCGGGGCAAAAACCAGATATGTATTATGGATGGTACGTATCGGCAGTGTCTGCGAAAAATCCTGCCCACCAGAGGACACCCTCCTGCGGACTGATCACGATGCACCGGAGAGTGCAGCCCGGATCCCGACAGAAGTGCACCTGAAGATCAAAGATAATTTCATCGATACCTTGTTAATGCGATCTTTGCTCTTGGCTAGTACGGCAAAAGAGATCACCTTGGCAGGAGAATTAAGAATGCTAATGGACCGAAGTTCAAAGCGGACTCCGATGTTCTCCCACGATGCAGCGGGGATGCAAGATGCAGAAGTTTCCATGGCAACTGGGAGAAGACCTCCCGTGCGGCTGCTACGAGGGTCGCCCTAACTAGCCTGGGCAGTAATTTGGGATAACTCGAGTTGAAACGTGGGGCAACTGCTAAAATTACCGCCCGATGTTACCAAACTTACGGAGTAATTCCCAGCCAATTAATAACCATCCGGGCCGCCCGTTGATGCGCTTCAGTGGACGCTGAAATTAGAATGGAACGTTTCGGAAGTAGATCCCTTTTTACGAAAATGCGCAAAATGTTGTTTAACGAAATTAATTCCTACTCCCTTCGGCTTGAAATTGTCCAGGGTGAAGTGCTTGGTAAAGTCCTCTTCGTCGATGTCTTTGGCGCTTTGCTCCCCTCGAAGTGTTTCTCTTCCCATTCCGCACACTTCCATCGACGTATCGAACGGTCAAACATCCTTCGGAAGTTCCTCGGGAGAAAAATCCTCCCGAGGGAAACTCTTGGCAGGGGATATGTTTCCGCGCGGAGTCACGCGTACCGAAATAATACGTATTTCGTCCTCACGGGTCTTGAACTAAAAGATTCACCGACGCAAACGGCTGCGGGGTGTGTACTCCTAAAAACGCGGTTTCTATAACTGGAAAATAGAGCAAATCCTCCGGGGATTCGGGGAATTCTGGAGTTTCTCTCCCGCCGACCGGGAAGGATATTTCCGGCGTAAAAATCCGCCCCGGAAACCACTCCGCGGCGGTATATTAATATACCACATTAAAATCACATTCTTTCAATTAAAAAAGAATAGAGGTAATAAGAGTTTTACAAATAACGTGGCGAGGTTCAAGATTATAAATCGTAGAAGTTAGCGGAGACTTGGTAAGGTCGCCATTGCTAGGAATGTTTGTGCCGGTGGGAGTGATATTCTGCCTAATAAAGATCCCGATTTACTCGGAAGACGTACTCGAGTACAAGTGCTCGGTCTTAGGAACCCTTCTCGAGCCCTAAAAAAGCTCCAGCAGAAGTCCTAGCCAGTATGCCGAAGCGTATTTATATCACCCTGACGTCATGCCATGTGTACCTTCTCTGCGACTCCCAGAAGGGGCAGAAACCATTTCGTGTGTTTGCCCACCTTAACGTTCAAGCATCCATTCGATTACTCGTTACAACAACAAGAAATATTTTCATATTTAAATGTTACTCGACAGCAGCCCTAATAAGGGGAGCCACGTTGGCGGTGGACTCGAGCAAATTGGTGATTACTCCTTATTGTTAGATTATTATTGCACTGGGTATGAGACGTTAAAACCTGAGATTGACCGGCTTAATTACTATCAGCGATTGGAAGTCCTCCAGAGGGCCATGGAAGGATTTCAATTCCTATGTCAATGGAGAGACCAGGCATCGAATTACAGGGCCGAGTCCTGGCAGAGATCCAATTCCAGCTAAATATACCTTTCGAGAGTGCGTCGAGGTTCGGTTGTTCGAATGAAGCTGAGCGTGTCCTAGGAGATCAGCGATCGATGCCTCGGCTGATTTTAAGGGGACTCCTGTGGAGCGTGTCCCTTGAAAAAGAACGAGATTTAATTAATATCTCGGTTTTCAATTATTACCCGCGTTCCTGCATCATTTTTTAGACATTCCTCGTAAAGTTAATTTAAGGGATGGTATTTCTCTCTGCCTTACCTTCTCGGTACGTGAATACTGGTCGATGGTACATCCTACAATTACCAAGACGGTTTGCTTGACCGCGTCGGTACAAAGAAAGCTGAAAGTTTTAATGCGCCTCGCCAGATGGCGCGGCAGTGCACTTCTTAGGCCGTTACGAATTCAAGCAGAGCTATTTGGAGCTTCGTTTAAAATCACATTATATGACTTTTTTTCCCCCAAACAGGAACATGAATATTTCAAAACGTGAAACAGCTCGACGGAGAGAAAACAATACTAATTAATGCAAAACAGCGGTTGGTATTCTGTTTTGCGAAAAATATCACAGCCATATTATTTCGTTAATTTAAAATTATTTCAGTTATCTAATTTCTTTTTACCCGAATAATCGCCAGAAAGGGGACTCTCTCCCTGTAATTCGAAAACTGGCCCTCCAAAATTTGGGATCCGCGAAATCTTTCGATATTTTGCACGGATCGATCTCCGCCAACTTGCAGGTTCCCCTCGAGGGAGGAATAATCGAAAATGTTGCTAAATCTCCACTCTTACCCATATTTCCGTATTCAGTTGCTCCCACTCGTAGTTTAGAGAGATGTTGATGTGCCTGTTCCTCATTCTGATGCGCGAGAACATTATTTCCTTCGAAATTCGGCTCCCGGTAGCAATAATGCGAACATTCACGACCGTAGCGACCGTTGGGATTGCCAATTCGAACGGGAGATTCGCGCTCCTCTGCGCTCGCCATCTAGCGGAGGCGTGTAGAACTTCGTGGCGCCGCGAGATCGATAACCGCCGGCAACAGGGCAATGGCCGACCTCCCATTTACACGCGGTCTCTCCAGTGACGGAGTTCTACTTCTACGTTACTCACATTTTAAGAGAGTTATCTAGTGAATCGACTCGGTCGCCATCTATAATCCTCCCAGACATTCCGAGGCAACGAAAATACGAACGAACAAAGTGCTTCCTCCGGTTTCTTGGAAAACAAGAAAGATTAATATGACACCGCGGAACAGCGAAGCAACCTCGCTTCAGATATTCTGGCGTAGCTCTAGGTCTCCTTCAACCGTGAGATTCGAAAGTTTCTTGACAAAAACGTCTTGTTATTAATGTAAGCTATATTACAGATCGATTTTATCAATATTTGGTAGGGTTATGATCATAAAATTCTTCGCACCTTTGAAGGCGCGCGAAGAGTTCGCTACGAGGTTCGCGCGCGCTCCGCTAGATGGCGCCACCTGAGAGCCGAGTCGAGGCAACAACGGTCGATATTCGAAATTTCAAAGCGACAGTGATGGACAGAATTCGTTATTTTCGGAATGTTATCCTGAGAGAAATTGTAAGTACGAGTGGGAATTATGATTTAGGAATGATCTTTAGAGACCGGGTGGAATCTCTGCGGTGAATTAATAAGTAGATGTGGTAATGTACCGTATTTTCGTCCTTTAGTCCGAAATTTACGGCTGTGATATGTGGTAAGGCCGGATATGTGCGAATCTATGCACGATGCCCAAATATCCTGGCTTTCATTGCCCCCTGAATGGGGATCTCTCTTTCAATAAATCCCGCCGGGCGAAACGCGCACTTATCCGGGAATTCGCATCGCGGCCAAAACGCGCTGTAACCACCGCCTATGTTCTCCGCGACGTAAAAGCACATCCCGCGAATTAATTAGCCGCTCGTTGACTTCAGCATCAGGAGAATGGAGCTTTACTGCGCGAACAGATCGGCGATGTTAAAAGGGATGGTACATTCGGTCCAGTGTCCACGCATTCTAGTTCCGAGCACGAAAATCGCCGTAGATTTCGAAAATGGACAAAGTAGGCCCAAAGTGGAACATTTAGCCGGAGGAAATCTTGGTAACTCTAATCCATGAAATTCCATCAAATCGTATATAATTGTATGACTGGATAATTTTAATTCTACATTTAAACAGTATATCTTTAACGTTTTCTCTATTTTTAGCGGCAGGGAATTACGTTTGGCCTAGAGGAGCCAGAAGAGCTGATCGTGAATCTTCGTCCCTACAAGTTTTCACTCCTAATTCTATCTGCTGGAGTTTCCAAGGGAAAATCTCGAGCACTCCTCGAGACTCCGAGGTAGGGTGCGTTTTCAATTCCAACTTCAGGAGCGTACCTCCTGATTACACACGTCCCCCGTGGCCGAGCGGTGACTCTTCCGGTCTATTTTATTTCCCAGAGCTGAGGTTTGCCGAACAGCGATGGCAGTCCCTGGCCAGAGAAACGTGTCTCCCGGAACTCGAGCTCGCCGGTCGAATTAAGGGCAGACTCTTTGGAAGCGCCCGTGAAGGTAACTTGAAAGGGAATTCAGGAAATCCGGGAACAGTCCTAGATCTAAAAGTATCCCGAAGGTGTTCGAAAGTCGGACTGATTTTATTTCATTTTAATACTACTCGTGTCGCTTTTCAGGGCGGTAGGAGGATCTCGAAGGAATTCCTTTCGGCTGGGGATTTTCTGACATTTTTCCTAGGATTTTTCCTGCGAGAAAGGACCTGCTTTCGGGGAGCTGTCGTAAAGGCGAGTCCACGCCGTCCCTCAGGATCCGAAGCCGACAGACATCCGATCGAAAATCGGCCGGGGCTCCATCGAGAGAGACTCCTCTCGGCATCATCGACGGGGTCAAACAGCCCCCTCGGTGGAACGTGCGACGAGAAAGAAATTGCCGGCATTCCGGAGTTCCCGTTGCTCGTTTTCATCCCCCCAGGAACGATCCGTCCCTTTCAGGGTGCCCTGCCTCCCCCGCGGCCGACCTAACCCCGCGAATCCGCCGCCGCTGAAATATTAAAGCGCGGAAAAAGACGTCGGCCTCCAATTTGAATTGTTTAAGGCAATCCTTCCGGCGAACGCCGGGATGAAAGAGCTTCGGGATCCCGGCCACTATTTTCGGGGCTTTTTCCTCCCGATGCTTTCGCCGCTTTCTAAGCCCATCTCGAGCTTACCCGAGACGCGGATCCTGGAGATGAACTCTTTTACCCGCCTCCGAGGTATTGAAAAACCCACTGAATCGACTTTATCTCCAGGTCATGTAGATTCGATGACTAAATTGAATAACGAGAGCCGGGAGGAATTCCCTAGCGAGGTTGGGAAAAATTAAATTCGGGGAGAATACTCGAATTTTCTTTTTCTTTTTTTCTTATCACTTTTTAAGAATTCATGTAGAGGACTCTGGCGCGTTGGGTAGGCGTTCATTACGAGGTGGATTTTTTATCAGATACCGCATTTCGAGTGAAGTCTCCAATTGGACACGTTAAAAGCCTTAAGCTTGATTCTCACGGACCCAGTATGGACGGTTTTCAGATGCCATAGTTGGCATGTTCTTGTCTGTTTATGGCATCGTCAAGTTTCCATAATCGTCTGAGATTTCCATTTCGCGGCATCTCGGGTAAAAGGCTGCCAGCTGGCCTGAAAGTAGTTTGATTCTTATAGCAAACCTTGACGAACTATTTGGCCATTCAAGGACTTCGCCATTTCTGGGGAAATCAAGGCAGAGCTTTGTCTTGCGCGATTTTGCCGATTAAAGAGTCGTCTCTTTTACCTTCATTTTCTGAATTTTTTTAAGGGACTGAATTCTTTCAAAGATTTTAATCTGCTTAGTCGAATACCATTTCTGGGCTTATTACCAGGTGAAAAAACAAAGGGTCGTTTCAAAGAATCCGCTCACGAGGCGGGGACGAAATTGGCTGGGAAATTAACATTTCAGAAAGCTTGGCCGAGATTTATGGGCTTTCTTTTTTATCTTGCATTTGAAAGGCGACGTATGAAATTAAGCTTCTGGATTTCGTAGGCAGAGGGAAAGAGAAATGGGACGTATCTGGCCACCTGCGTGAAAAAGAGGAAAAGGAGGGCAGCTAACTTTTAAAAGCAAGGGACATTTGGCGTCCCTTTGTTTCAACTTTGAATGAAAAAAAGGAAAAAACGAGGAAGAACCCCGCGGATGAAAATTACTCGGTGAAACTCGGGGCAGCGCGTTGGCACTCATCGAGGGTGGTTCTTTTTAACGCAAAATTATACACTTACTAAGTAAATGACACCTAAGAGAAAGGACGGTCTCGAGTCCGATGAAGCGTTATCCAGGAAGCGTTAACAATTCCCCCGATTTGCCGGCATTTAAGGTGAAGTGAAACACGTCGAGGAACTTGATCGACGTCCATAAAGAAGATTTTTCTAAATGCCTACATTGCTGACATTCGTTTTTATAATGACAGCTGTGTCGAATTATATCGGGTATTGTACCAAATGGCATACGCCACCTGTCGTTTTCGTACAATAATTATAAAGAAATCGAAGTTAAACTCCAGAAATCCTCTGGATTCAGTTTTTCTGGGGCCCTAATTGACTGCAGAGGGACCCCCTGCGCCATCTGTGATTTCCAGGTCAATTAAATTTTCACTCCGAGACTCGCATACAACACTTTTTTAGCCTTTATTCCGATCAAATGCAAGTTTATCGATTACCAGAGTGTTATAAATTGTCATAAAATTGTCCTGACCCTTTCGTTTCTCATATCAGAGCCTTCGATAATTGTATATTAATCGAAATATGAGAGCTCGACGCCATTTTGGTTCTAGTCTGGGCTGAGTTAAACAATTTTCTTTTTAAATCCAAATTTTGAATGTGTCAGGACAATTCTTAGACGATCAGGAGTGATGTGTCAAAGTTTCGGACAGTTTGGTCTAATACCCTTAAAAAAAAGTGTTGTATTTGAATCGACTGATTTGAAGACGGTTTCACTTCACCTTAATAACGGATATTGCGGTACATCGAGGCCTCGTGTTTTTACTTTATTTAGTCAATGCGTTTTAATTATTTCAGATCACTCCGGGGGAAAAAGTTTCGAAGAGGTCTGAAAGGACTCTCGTTATTTCCGGCAGATTAGTCCAGGGTCTGCCTCCTCGGATCCCTAATTCCGGCGAGAAAATGGCGAAACATATCCCAAGACGCGGACACATTTGAAAGGAGCATTCTACCTCGGCACAAAAGACGTCATTCCGGGAATGGGAGTCCTTGGGAGCTTAGCAGGAGGAAGGGCTAAAAGGAAGCCAATGAGGGGAAGTATGGAACGGAAGGGGAGAGATAAAAATCCAGGTTATAATCCCGAACCCGTAACGAATCTCGATCGACTTCTGACTGTTCCAGGTTCCGTCTCATCGAGCAGCCGGCCCTGATTACAGTCCTTCCGATTACAGAACTTCCCTCGAAATGGCGTTAAAAGCAGGAGGGAGGACCTGGATAATGCACTTGGGGAGGAATTTGCCAATAGCGCGAAATGATCTGCGGATTTTAGCGTCCTCCGCCGAGACGGGGCCGTCCAACTTTGCGAATTAAATCGCGGATTACGCCCCGTCCAATCTATCTCCGGGATATCGGGTTCCCAGGTCCGCCCGGAAACGGTAAAAAAATTGCAACACCATGCCGTTGTTCCATGGAAGATCGAAAAAAAAAAAGAAAATTTCTCGCGGGAAAAAAATGAATATCTACCGGACATGGAAACCCGAAATACGGCGGCGGGGTGGAGGCGCGTTCACCCGGAACTTGTTCCGCTCCGAATTAAATACCTTCTCGTTTTTTCTCGCGTTGCGGTGAGCGGTGCTCGAAAGTTAGGTCAGTTTACACGGAGGCATCGCGAGAATTTTTCACCTCGTAGGTTCCCCCCGATAAGGGCCTTCGGAATATGTAAAGTGGAGGAATAACCCTTTCCCTCGGCAGTGCTCGGTGCCACTTTGCGAGCGGCGCTCTCCGACCTCTATGTAAATTACGCGCTTCCGGGCGACTCGTAAATTCGCGAATTCCGCGGTCCCTTAATGAAGGACACCGGCTGCGTTTGCGAGGCCGAAAGTGGAGCACTGCGTGTCCAATTTTCTGGCCAACCGACGAATGTCCTCGTGGGAAATCGACCTACCGTCCGGGCGAAATATCGCGACGGGCTTTCCTTCATCATCGGGAGACCATTCGTCTCGGAGAATCCAGGCCAGGGATTTCCGACTGCCGAAATGAATTGTCCTCCGCTTCCGGTTTTCCCCCATTTTTCCAGTTTGTCCTATTGTCTCCCTCCGCCGGGAAAAAATCGCCCGTGAATGAAATTTCTTTCCGCCCTGAAAGAGGCAGCCTATATATATCTGGGAAGTCAAATCGTTAGTGAAAGTATTCTCCGAATTGGGTGTACCGATTAGTTTCACATTTTACCACGTGGATATGGAGGCCTTAAAGTAGGTCTTGAGACTCATGAAATTTCATTTTACATCAAAAATGTATTTATTTATGGACCAGAACCAACATGGCGTGGTCTGGACACGTCTTCGACGTTTCACGCTTCTTGGAGAATTAGAATCGAAAATGAAGAGTTTCAGGACCTAGCTCGAATTTTACAGAGTTAGATAGGAAAATGTGGTAAATATTTTCACCGACTATTGCAAGAGAATGCTGGCTTGTTCTGCGGCTAACACGCGTTTTTAGAGGAAAAATTTTGTTGCAGCTAAACGTCACGGACGGCGACGTTGGTTCGTCAAAATATAAACAGTCATGAATTCATGGGATTTCGACAGTTGTACATCGTTCTTTTTATCATTACTTTACCGAAATGACATATGGAACCCTTCGGTTCGTATAATTCTCAACGTAGACTGTAAAAGACTTCAACATAAATATAAATGTCGGTAATAGGACGCGTCAGCTTATGTTCCCACTTGAGTATTCAAAACGGCATTCCCACCAAAAAGGGTATAGATGAATTTTATTTTATCGACGTCGATTAAATTACTTAGCGCCTTTCATATCCTCTTAAGCTCGTCCCTTGCGAAATAGGTCGACTCAATCGAAGAAATCAAGATCGGCAACCCCTTTGGGGTGATTCTCCTCCCTCTCTGATGGCCAGGTTTTAGGAGCCGCCAATTAGCAGCAGGTGTCAGGTGACTGGCTAGATGAGGAGTGTTCTTGCTCTTCAGGGTTGCCCCCGAATAGCGGAGCTCGTGATTAATCGTGGCTGCCCAGGTCGACGTCCCTAATTTTACACGCGTCGTTACTCTCGATCGGGTCCTGAGTAAACTAGGAACCTACTCGTATTCGACAAGGACCTCTTCAGG